GACACGATCGCGGTTCAGCTCAATTTCGCCGCTGCGCATGCAGATGACAATGCGCCCCCGCTGCTGCTCTTTGCAAGTGCTTGCCATCTTACCGAGCAACCCAGTCTCCCAGGGTGGATTGGAAAGGCATTCCTGCGGGTTCGAGACCATGGCTAGGAACGTTCGATTCACGAGCTATCGAGGCGGCGGAGGGAAAACAGTTTAGCTATGAAGCCTAAACAGAAAGTAAGAAACTGTAAGGGCCTTGGTGAAGATGGAGGTAGAAATAGTTAATTATTCTCATGATCTATAGAAATCGTGGAATTATTAGACCGTCTATTGAAGGCCCTGAGTGGTTGTTCTTGCTGACGTTAAGGCGAGAAAACAAGGCAACCAAGGCTAGGCAGGCAAAAATAAGGCAAAACTCAGGCAATCCAAGGTAAATATGAGAAGATCCGGATGCTGGACGATAAATATGTCTTAAAGTTAGGAGTAATTTGTCGACGAGGCACCTTGACAGTCAGTAATATCGCATTATGAGACGGCGATGAAAGAAAACAACACCCATTCCACTCAGGCGCTCTACCTGCATCGGCAAATCTCCAAACGGCGAACCAAATGATGACCTAATATGAGATTGGTTTATGAAACAAGACTACGAGAGCCTCAGCGCGCCAAGAGAGGCAAACCATGGCCCTGGGCCTCGAATGCATCCTTCCATGGAGATTGTCCCCTGTGGAAGGGGCCGAGGCATCGGCTCCCCTGGGCTACCGTTTTGATGTCTGGTGTTGTTGCTATTATCAGATCATCGGCCTCAGAAGTGGATGCCGACTCAGAAAGGCCGTCCAGCGACGCGCAATTAGCTCCCTCTTCCCCACGGGGGTGTGGGACCAGTGGGCACGAACAAAACAAGCCATCACGGGCGTGGCGTAGAAGAGGACGGGGATTCGGGGAATCTCCTCAGTGAGAGAAACAGACAGCAGTACTACGCCGTGTCTGGGGAAATAAGGAAGAAGCAGAGAGGTCGCACAGCGGTGCTAAGCAAATGACGGCCCAATGCAAGCAAGCAGAAAGCAGCCGAGCCCGTGCCGAATATGACTGCCGGCTGCAGTTCCACCAAGTGGAAACAGTCGTCTAGTTGTGCAAGGAGCGAAATCAGCAGTGCTTGGCGACCAAAGCCATCTTGTTCTGAGGAGTAAGGGCAAATGCTTTAGCAGGAATGGAGGGTGGCCGTGGACTTCAGTGGACCAAGAGCATTCCTTGAGGAGCTTCTCCGCACGGAGATGGTCAAGGCTTGTTGGAGAGACTCCTCAGGGCGTTCTTGGCACTCCAGGTGCCTAGCTGGTTCGGGAAAACTGCTCCTTTGTTGAGACTTAAGCAGGTGGCATATGACACCCTACCTGAATCTACCACCACTGGGCGACTGTACCGGGAGATGCTGTTGGTGGTATCTCGCAGCGTGGTCTGGGGTGGTGAACCTGGTTTCCGGCGCTGACTGCCAATGGGAGTGCGGTTTGCCGGGCCTTCCGCCTGTCTTAGACGAAGAGTTGTATGGCTTTCCACGAAGGCGCACCACCTTTAGAGACATCAATGCTATACCAAGCCCTAGGAGCCGTCTTCCACGTGCCGGAGGATCCTTTAGCCCAGTGCAGTGCTCGAGATGCGATGCAATTGACTCTGGCCTAGTCCTAAGCGGCTTGGCAGTCGCAATGGAAGCTCTTCTCCAGGTCTAGGGGTGGAGATGATTGCTGATGGCGCGCCCTAACAGGGGGCCGGTTGGGGTGTGCTATGCTGGGATAGCTGCTCGTCGTGAGAAATATCTGCCCCAGGATTGGATTGTCTGGGATTATATTGGGCTGGGGAAAGGAAACGGCAACCCCACAACCCGTTACATTCGACTGGAGCACTTGCCTCGAATCCTGCATAATTGCGAGGGCAGGAGCTTTCAAGTCTCGTAGAGTAGATCTCATAAAGACTGGTGCTCCCTCAATCTGTTTGTTACGCAACTTCTGCATCTGTCCGATCCATTGCCCTTCGGTACCCGGAGCTTGGACCCGGCTCTCTCGACAAAACATAACATAAGCAAGTAGCGCACACCGCTCACCGGATTCGATTTCTGCTTGTAGATCAACACGACGTCCTTTAAAGACATTGCCAACTTTATCACCAATCACCATGGCGGCTGAGAAACCACGGGCCAACGACGGCCCTGATCAAATCCAGGTCGCCCATCACGACGACGTCCTGCATCATGCTGCTGAGCGTGGCCAGGTTGCTACTGACAAGTAGGCGATTCACGGCTCCTCCAGGGGCAAGATTTGACGCTGACAATCCCTGATAGATATGGCCATTCGCTCGTTACCATTGACCCTAAGGTAGAAAGGCGCCTCAGGACCAAGATCGATCTCTTCGTCGTCCCCACCGTCGCGCTGTTGTATCTCTTCTGCTTCATTGACCGTGCCAACATTGGTGAGTTTCCGCTGCTGTCCGGAGCATCAAAATGAACGACCCGTAGAGCTGACAGAGCCTAGGCAATGCCAAGATTGCCGGCTTGGAGAAGGACCTTGGTCTCGAAGGCTACGACTATAATGTCGTTCTCTCCGTCTTCTATGTCTCGTACATCCTGTTCGAGATCCCTGCCAATATCATGTGTAAGTGGATCGGACCTGGTTGGTTCCTCCCAGGCACGACGCTGCTCTTCGGAGTGTCCTCCATCGCCACCGCCTTTGTCCACAACCGAGCCCAAGCCTGTGCGGTGCGTTTCTTGCTCGGTATTTTCGAGGCGGGAATGTTGCCCGGCATCGCTTACTATCTTTCTCGATGGTACCGGCGAGCCGAACTGGCCTTCCGGCTGTCCATCTACATGGTCATGGCCCCTCTAGCCGGCGCCTTTGGCGGACTTCTAGCTTCCGGCATCCTCAAGCTCTCTCACTTCGGTGGCCTTCATAGCTGGCGCATGATCTTCGGAATCGAGGGAATTATCACCATCGGGTTGGCCATCATTGGTTTCTTCACTCTGACGGACCGACCCGCCACCGCCCGCTGGTTGACGCAAGACGAGAAGGACCTTGCCATTGCTCGCGTCAAGTCCGAGCGTGTCGGCACGACAGAGGTCCTCGACAAGATGGACCACGTCAAGCTCCGCCGTGGCATGACCAGTCCCGTCACGATTGGCACCGCTGCCGTCTTTCTGCTTAACAACGTAACCGTGCAGGGGCTCGCTTTCTTCCTGCCGACCATCATCAAGACCATCTACCCGACGCACACGGTCGTCTTCCAGCAGCTCTACACCGTTCCGCCGTACGTCGTCGGCGCCTTCTTCGTCGTCCTGTTCCCGACCATCAGCTGGCGCCTGGACAAGCGGCAGATCCTCATCGCGCTGAGCGCCCCGATGGTCATGGTCGGCTACATCATGTTCCTCGCGAGCAAGGACGCCCATGTCCGCTACGGCGCGACCTTCCTGATTGCAAGCTCCGCCTTTGTTCTCGGTCCCATGAGCAATGCCCAGGTCAGCGCGAACGTCGTCAGCGACACGGCGCGCTCCAGCGGTATTGGTATGAATGTCATGTTTGGCAATATTGGCGTAAGTTTTTCTGGTCTCAGATCGTAGAGGGCAGTGAAGCTAATCAGCTTTGAAAATTCAGGGTCTCATTTCCACCTGGTCGTTCCTTCCGTGGGACGGTCCCGATTACCATATTGGCAACGGCCTCAATCTCGCCACTTCCAGCACGATCTTGATCTTGTCGACGGCATTGCTGTTCTGGATGTATGCCGATAACAGGAAGCGTGAGGCGCGGAGCATCGAAGAGGAGCTTGCTGGCCTGGATCAAAAGCAGATCCAAGATCTGGACTGGAAGCACCCGGCCTTCCGATGGAGGCCTTGAAAGGACTGGGGAGTTTCTCCAAAATAAGTTGTATTGATTATGATCAATCGGACGTGAGGACTTGTAATATCCAAAACTGAGGCAAGTGAAGGAATGCTCAGAGTGGGATTTTCGATGGTCTGGGCTCTTATGAGTGTGCCTTATTATTTGTTGCCAAATTCATGACGTTCGCGAATTTTGGAACAGGACTTATGCCCGCTGGTTAGCTGTCTGAACCGTGTGTTCAGCCAATAGCGAACACATAGTTGTTACAGAGCCGAGAAAGGAAGCATGATGCGCCTCTTCCTAATATACTAACTCGTCTTCCAATTGTACTCTCATCCTACTAAGACGGTTTTCTCGAAAAGAAGAAACTCAAGCTTTACTAATATTTGAAGCTATTTCATGATGCTATGTGCGACGCTATATGCCCCTTCCCAAACGCTATGTCCAAAACCCCCGAAATACAGGACTGTACAAATTATGTGCTGTGATCTAACGTATTGGAATATCTGGTATTAACGATTCATGATCCCAAATCAGGGGTCTATCCCTCCTACTACTCTCTTGCGTGGTGAGCTTCAGCTGCGGCCAGTCTTGGATGGCAAAGATCCTGTTGAGTGCATAATCGTGCTTCGACAGCCAGTCACTCCTCCATTCCGCATTACCACGCGATGTCTCTGCGATGACCATGATCTTTACTTTTGAGGATCCACCGTCGACGGCCGTTATGACTTGAGCCAAGCCGTTCAACACTGTCGAGACAGAGACCCTATAAGCGAGATCCAAGCGATCAATGATGATGACGATCGGGTCCCTCAGCTCATTGAGAACTTGGATCAAGACATGGAGCAATGACTGGAATGACCAGCTCGCCCCCTCTTTGGCAACATATCGGCGGAAGCGATCATAGTTGTCTCGTAGCATCTCAGGCTTCTGATGCAGTATTTGAATAATGATCGACGAGATCACCGTGTGAGCAGAGATCGGCTCGTCGATTAACATAGGAAGGCAAGAGAAGAAAATCATTTTCTCCTTCTTCTGCAAGGCGTCTTCGGCAACGTAGATGGCCACAGGCGATAGCCAGCAGTGGAGAAATCCCATTTTTCTCCGGCCTTGCCATGCAGTGCTGCCGCTTACAAAGAGGAGCGAGGATGCACTGCTCTCGTTCCAGTCCTGGAATTCAGGCTGACTGTTCAGCAAAAAGCGGCTCATTTGTAAGTATCCCGTATACGGAACATTAGGGGCGTTGGCTGGTAGGTCAGGGAATATCTCCATGAGCGCTTTCTTTGTTCTAAGTATATTCATTCCAGGATGTGGATAAGATATCTGTAGTTGTGGTCAACAACTTTAGGGTTGAGGTAAACATGGGCAAAGAGCGTCTCACTTCCAAAACATTCTCAAATGCTGTTAGTCGGCTCTTGTCATCTTGTTCCTGCTGAAGCTTGAATTGTCGTTCTTGTTGCTCTAGTTTCTCTTTCAACTCCTCGTTCTGCGAGAGAAGCTTCAACCGCATACGCTCAGCTTCTTGACCCATAAGTTTGAGTTCCCTATTCTGTACTAGCAATTCTTGTTGCCCCTTTTGTGCCTCTTTAGCTTGTTCCTTGAGATGCTCAATCGTCTTTGCGGAGTTGTTGACCTGAGCTTCGGTTCTCTGAGATGTCTTGTGGAGTTCGTACATAGCCTCTGCGTTAATCTCTGCCAGCGTTTTGTGAATTTCCGCTGCAGTTTCGTCGAACCCTGAGGCGAGAACGGGGAGGAGAGCAAAGAGAAACCTTTCTATCGAGAGTTAGTAATGCTGGTATGTGTGGCGTTGAAGATGACATACTGCGGAAACGAGATAGGTACTCGGCGGCTCTTCTCGAGAAGTCTATGACTTGCGCGTATGCCGTGGCAACGAGCCTTCTCATGACATCTGTAGGGTAGATGTTGTCCCAGTTTTCCAGCTTCGGTAGTGACTTGCGAAGCTCTTCTAGCAAGTCGATAACTTTGTTATCGTTCTTCACCTTATTTACACATACCTGGAGTTGTCAGCTTCCACCCAGTCTTCATATATCTCGAATACACATCGAACTCACAGACAACAAAATCGAGAACGTTTGATAGGCAACTGTTCCATAGGGACCGCCAGCCGTTGCAACAGCTTCGATAACTTTCGAGTACTTCTCCACGAGCTGCCCGAAAGTGTTGGCATGTCCCTGAGCCCATTTGCTCACTTTCTTGATTCCTTGCTGCCTATCTAGCACGTATCCGTGATGTGTCGCGGAGGCCGCCCTGAAGTTGCGTATTGCCGACTCGCGACGAGGTAGACCACCTCGTGCTTCCTCGATCTGATCTAGGAGCTCCTCTTTCGTAGAGGCCAACTTGACTTCTCCATCTTTGGACTTTATCGCGCTCTTCAAATGGTCCTGGAAGCTTTGGTGTGATTGTAAGATCTCCTTCGGCCGTGATAATGCTTTGCTGCCTCTGTCAACCTGTTAGTATCATCCTTGAGTTCAACTTCGGGGTATACTAACGCTGCGTCCTCAAACCACCGCGGTTTCGCGGGTTCCATGATGGCCCTTGACAATCACAAAAGCATCCTCACACCCATGAATCTCCAAGGGGAAGATAAAGTGAGACTTGTCATCTTGATAAGATTCACACATGCACGGAATCCCCGCACAGGCGACAGCAGCGTGATACGGGTCCGCTAGGCCCCAGACAGTCACCATTCCGTGCATCTGCGCAAATTGCGACCGCAGGATGCAGCTGCAGGCTTCTAGTTCGTCCCGGCTGATTAAGTACTCGTTTCGGCCAATCGTGTCCGGTCGGCAGGCAGACTCGCATGAGCAGGGAGCGTGGGCTGGCAGGTTGGGGGCCAGCGGTTGCCTCAACTAGACACGGACACATCAACCCTCCCTCCTCCTGTCAAATCGCCTCATCGGGAGGCGCAGTCGGCGCTTGCGCACAGGCACGCTGACCAGTCCCTATATCATAACTCCACTGATGATAAAGGTAGACGGTACAATGGCATTCATTAATTCGCGCTGCGTCCGTACCTTCCTTGAAGGAGGATAAATAGTTCAGGAGGGCCGGCTAGGCACCACTCGTCAGAGTCATTTGCTTTCTGAAGTGTCCGCGCGCAAGCTGGTTAAGCTGCAATGGGAGACTCTCAAGCAACAGTACGGGCCTAGCCCTCCTCTTCGTGGCGTTTTTGAATATTGACGACTGTTCCAGGACAAATCAGCCCTGGAGGCTGCATTGCAGCAGAAATATATTGAGCTCCTTGAGAAGAGAATTGGCCAACTCGAAGCAGTAGTCAGTGCTGCTGAACAGAAAGAAAAAGCAAAAGACGAGGAGGGGAAGAAGGTAAACGTTGCTCTAGATTTATGCACCGCCGATAGGATCTACAAACTAATACAAGTGATTATTTGAAGAAAGACACCAATAAGAAGGAAGACCCAACGACAGGAGGGCGATATCTGAACGCCACGCGAGAATGGGATAACTCTAGCGCCTCGTACAAGGACGATATTGTAGCCGAAAGCTCATTCAAGAAGTCACAGCCCAAGAATGTTGCTTATATCTTCCGTCGCGTTATCTATGATACTGCTCTCAGCGAGAAACGAGCCTACAGCGAGCTTGAGATCGAAGACCTGAAACTCATTGAGCTGCTCAAGAGCGTGATTGACAACAAATACCCAGGTGTCAACTTCGATGGAAATAGAGTGTATATGCAGGCACCATTTCCTGCAATTGTACGTTATTTCATTGTGAAGATCTCTTTTAACTAACAACGTTCAGATTCACAATTGGGACAAACTGAAGGAGAGGGCCGAACAAGATCCCGATGCACAGGAATGCAAAGATCTTAGGCACCTTCTCGGCCGTATTGAGGCAGCCGAAGAGCTCGAAGATTACTTTAAGACGAGAGACGCAAATAGCGCCGCGAAGGTCACAACATTCGAGACGCTATGGACAGTATTCGCACCGAAGACGAAGATTGTTGTAAAATCGTTCATGGGAATACCTCAGCTGCTTCAAGTTTCAAGCTCGCCCGTACCATACGTTCGATCCAACATCAAAAACATTCTCAACTTTTACATGAGGGCATGGTGTTGGGATTGGAACGGCAAACGCATGGTCAAGGTTCGGTATTTCCTGAGATTCAAACGGTTTCAGGGGACGAAGGAGATCAGTGATTTAGACTATTACCCAGTCGAATATCACACCGAGAGCAAAGAGCTTTGCGATGAGGTTAGGAAGCGGTCGGTCAAATTCCTCATGGCAACGAAGTTTGTGAACAATGCATCCGAGCGGATGTTCAAGTATGAGGGGAATGCCTACGTCGCCCGTAGGAAGATTGTGTCCAGCAGTAAGGAGGATGACGAGGTATACTTATTGACCCCTAGGCCGAGTTCGCAGTCGTAAACGCTAATCGAGGAGTGTAGGATGATAATGAGGCGAAGGATGATAACGACGACGATGATGTTATCAGGTCTAGACTAGTACCTGTGAGTCACCCTCTTCTCTTTGAGGTGTGGGTATAACTGACTATAGCTAGATCAAAGGCGAAGTCATCTGCGATGCCCAAGCCTATCTTCAATATGGTATGTAGCACCGCATAGACATCAGAGTCTCACTAACTAACTGAGCTTAAGCTCATTCGAAACGATCTCACGCAATGGGAGAGATGGAGCACGAGATAATCGAAGAACCCGCCACTGAGATCGAAGATGTTCTCGCAAAAGTGACCAAGGAAGATGTGTTAAATGGAGTGCATAATAACAACGACGAACTTCTCATCCTGCCACCTCGATTTATGGGTTATGCCACGAGAGAAAAGTTATGGGGTCAGTTCTGTGTGGATTGGACATCACCACCGCCTGAGCCGAATCGCGAGAAGTTTCACAAGAATCTACAGCTCGACAAAGAGTATAAGGATCTTATCGATGCTCTTGTCAAATCACACGAGAGCGGGCAGGCCGGCCAGGTTCAAGACATGGTGTCCGACAAGGGTAAAGGACTGGTCCTGCTACTTCATGGTAGGTGTCAGACCCTCAGAGTCAAAGTGACCGCATGCTAACATATGTAATAGGACCGCCAGGTGTGGGCAAAACGGTAATGTCCGAATAGTCTATCAAATTGAGACGTCTGCTAACCTGCTATGATAGCTTACCGCCGAGACCATCGCTGAAGCAACAGGAAAGCCTCTGTTTGTGGTCAGCGTCGCCGAGATTGGGCTAGATGCGTCACGAGCTGAGAAGAATCTAGAGAAGCTTTTCAACTTGGCAACAAAGTGGGAGGCCATACTACTTGTTGACGAGGCCGACGTCTTTCTGGAAACGCGTGGATCGACCTCTGATGCTTCTCGAAATGCTCTCGTGTCGGTCCTTTTAAGGGTGCTCGAGTACTACAAGGGCATCATCATTCTAACAACCAATCGAATCAAGTCCATAGACGTTGCAGTCATCTCGCGAATTCACCTCGCGATCCGATACACTGACTTGAGAGACGACCAGATGAAGTCTATCTTTAAATTCTTCCTCGACCAGCTGGAGCCCCAGTGGATCAAGGATCGGTCGGCGATCAACAAGTTCATCGATGACACAGGGCACCATTACGGGCTTAATGGACGGCAGATCAGGAATGTGGTCTCTGCAGCTCTAGCGGCTGCGAGGCGCGAGAATGATGAGAAGATCGGGGATGGACGACTAACCGAAACGCATCTGAGGAAGGTATGTGAGATGACGCGAGATTTTCAGGAACAATTGAAAGACCATGCAATGCAACAGAGATACCAGAACGAGGCGAGGGGCTTTGGAGGCTATAGATAATAAGCCACTTTATGATGTATGAGACGAGGTGAATTGAAATGATGACCAGATTCCATCCACCTGACTTTTAAATGGCATAGTGACGATGGGAGGTTCAAATGTTCCCTGTCGTTTGGTCTTGCTCTGAAGACGGATTGTGGCGCTCGTGTGGCTTCAATTACCCCGCGACACAGCCACAAAATTTCACCAGCGAAAATTGAGTCAGTGTGGTGTCCTGCATCTTGACCCCGCCAAAACAAAATATCAATTTCGAGGGCGTCTCAGGTGCGTCTGTCACAGTGACTCACATCTGTGACTCTGGATATAACTTCGGCGACTCGATCCCCGGATTGAAGTGCTGCTTTCTTTCTCTTATCATCGATTAAGTCAAGCCTATTCATCAGGCATTGCCATCATGGCCGACAACACGACTGCCCCGCCTGCTGAGCAGCTCGAGAATCTCCATCTCGACCCGGTCACGGGAGAGAAGGTAAATGCGTCCCTCGCGCGCAATAGAACCTCTACTGACATGTCGACAAGATCTCCAAGTCCGAACTCAAGCGTCGCCAGAAGCAGCGACAGAAGGACGAGGACAAGAAGGCCAAGGCAGCTGCTGCCCCTCCTAAGGCTGCTGCAAAGAAGCCCGTCGCCGCAGGCGAGGAGGATCTCGACCCTCGACAGTACTACGAACTCCGATGCAGACAGATTAACTCCCTTCTCGCCTCGAACGACCCCAACCCCTACCCACACAAGTTTCAGGTCACATACGACGCGAATAACTTTGTCTCCGAGTTTGGACACCTCAAGTCCGGCGAGACGGAACCGGCCAAGCAAATCAGCCTTGCTGGCCGTATATACGGTCGTCGATCGCTCGGCAAGCTCATCTTTTACGACATCAGAACCCCTGCAGATACCCAGTCGATTGGCGTTAGGTTGCAGATCATGTGCCAGGCTGAGAATGTAAAGGAAGGTGCCGTGCCGTTCGAGAAGCAGCACGAGATTCTAAGGAGAGGTGACAACATCGGTATTGTTGGCTTCCCGGGGCGAACTGCCCCCAAGAAGCTGCTTGCAGAGGGAAAGGAGGGAGAACTATCTATCTATGCAACAGAGATTATTCTGCTCAGCCCGTCACTGCACATGCTACCGTCAGAGCATTTTGGATTGAAGGATCTTGAACAGCGCTTCCGTAACAGACCTCTGGATCTACTGTTCAACGATTCCTCTCGAGAGGTTCTATGGATGCGGAGCAAGATCATCCGATACATTCGGGAGTTCTTCAACGACCGCAAGTTTTTGGAAGTTGAGACCCCGATGATGTCCGCCATCGCTGGAGGTGCTACAGCGCTGCCTTTCATTACCCACCACAATGATCTGGACCTTGATATGTTCATGCGAATTGCACCAGAGCTGTTCTTGAAGATGTTGATTGTCGGTCAATTTGGAAAGGTCTTCGAGATTGGCAAGAACTTCAGAAATGAAGGCATCGATCTGACGCACAACCCCGAGTTCACCAGTATTGAGTTCTACGAGGCATATGCCGATGTGTACGATGTCTTGAAAACGACAGAAGACCTAGTTTCAGGTCTCGTTAAGCATCTTACTGGCGGCTACGAGACCACTTTCACCAACCAGCATGGCGAGACGTATCATGTCAACTGGCAAGCCCCATGGCGCCGTGTTGAGATGATTCCAGAGCTTGAGCGCGCTTGTGATGTAAAGTTCCCGCCCTATGACGAGCTTCACACCGACGAGACAAATCAATTCCTCAAGGACGTGCTCAAGAAAATGAAGGTAGACTGTCCCCCTCCTCTAACAAATGCGCGCATGCTTGACCGTCTAGTTGGAGAGTTCATCGAAGAGACCTGCGTCAACCCAACTTTCATTCTTGAGCATCCCCAGATGATGTCTCCACTTGCAAAGTACCATCGTTCTAAGAAGGGTCTTTGCGAGCGATTCGAGGCCTTCGTTTGCAAGAAGGAGATCGCCAACGCCTACACTGAGTTGAATAACCCTTTTGACCAACGCTTGAGATTCGAAGAGCAAGCGCGTCAGAAGGCACAGGGAGATGACGAGGCTCAGATGATTGACGAGTGAGTTTCTATGGCCCCTTATGTCTAAATTTATTCTAACCGATGCAGGAATTTCCTCACAGCTCTTGAGTACGGTCTGCCACCAACTGGTGGCTGGGGTCTCGGTATAGATCGCCTGGTGATGTTGTGAGTAATAGACTAGTCCTCGGAGCTTGAATATCGATTGACTTTATCATGTAGCATCACCGACAATTACGCTATCAGGGAGGTTCAATCTTTCCCATTCATGCGGGCCGAGGAAAAGGTCGAGAAGAAGGAGAAGTTTGCCGCCGAGGTTGTGGATGTCAAGCCGCTTCCAGAAGAGGGAATTGGTAAGCTTTCAACTCCCAAGTAATCAATCTTCACTAACGATAATACAGCCCACAAGTAGGCGAGATTAAGTATAGATTAGCAGTCTTTTCCAAATGATTGATTACCTCGAGTTGCGCTGAGTAGAAGGCGTCACAAAATACCGGGTGGCAAAGTAGAGAGGTCTCTTTGATGTCGAGAGCTGGGTTGTAGTCTACATGTCGGATACAAATTTCTATGGTACAGACTTCGGCTATATGCAATTGGTTGAAAGGTCTCCCTATTGCATTACCCTCCAGTTTTGACAATTCGTGAACTAGTCGTACCTTTAAAAAAAACGCTCGTGTTCCAAGAGGGTGGCTTATCTTCCCTTTCAAAAGAACCCGCTTATGCACTGGTCAGGGGCCAAAGCCGCCTGATCTACTACAATATTGGTACATTACACCTACATTACTCCACCATTGGTGAATAACACTCATTTCAGAGCCTTCAGCCTTCGCTGTACCAGAGCCATTGTCGACTGTGGCATGCGCAGTCTGTGGCCGAGGACAAGCACGCCAGTCAACAAGGCCAAGCTGCCTGCCTGGTGGGTTGCCGCCAGATGTGTCGGCACCATGTAGATTAACGTGCTGATACCGAGCGCCACCTGCAGGAGCATGAGGTGTACACAGCCCATCACGCCCTTCTTTGCATTCCTCGGCAGCACTGCAGCGACGTTGCCTCTTCGGCTGTACACGTAAAGAGCCAGGATCGCGCAAGCTGTTGTCGTTGCCAGGATGCGATGGTCCAGCTGGACTAAGCTGGGATTCTCGAGCATGTTGCGCCACCAAATATCCGAGCCATCCTCCTTGCGGCTGTAGAACTTGTCCCAAAGCTCAGACTTAGGAGGCGTTATACCATTGCCCATCATAGGAAACTCGTTGTAGATTAGACCGGCATCGAGGCCCGCAACTAAACCACCGGACATGGCTGTAGTGAAGACGAGAGCGGTAAGCAGCGCAGTGTACCGTTTAAACGGGGCCAGAGCAGGGTGTTTCAGCGCAGAGAACAGCTTGCTCGCAGCCTCAGGATTTGCGAGTGCACGGTGTGTTCGCAGAATACTTAGGCCGGCGAGCAGCATCCAGGTATAGCAGACAAAGGCGGTCGCGAGGTGAGTAGTCAACCTGTATTGCGATACACGAGGGTGGGCACCTGGGGCAAAAAGGTCGTCCTTCAATCCGGATGCGACCATCCACCAGCCGATGAAGCCCTGGAATCCAATGAGACCGGATATTCCGACCAAGTTCCAGGCCATGCGGGGAGTGACCCTCTTGCGTGCAATGAAGTAGATCGTCGGGAGGACGAAAGACATGCCAATGAAGCGGCCCCAAAGTCGATGCGTCCATTCCATAAAGTAGATTTTCTTAAATTCATCTAGGTCCATGTGCGGGTTTAGCTTGACGTACTCTGGAGACGTCTTGTATTTCTCGAACTCGGATTCCCAGTCGGCTTGGGACATTGGGGGCAGCGAGCCAGTGACCGGGCGCCATTCGGTAATGCTCAGACTATAATACGAACGTCAGCAACTCTGTACGGAGTCAAGCAAGGTGCGGCTGTGTGCTTGTTGAAGACCTACCCAGACTCTGTGAGTCGTGTCAGACCACCCCACACCACGATGCCGAAGACGCTGGCAGCGCTCCCGAGCAGCCAGTATGCAACTGTCTTGGAGCTCGTCTCGGGAAACGCCTTCTTCGCCGTCTCCTTGACTGTCGCTGCTGCGGCGATCCCATTGCCAGCGGACACTGTAGAGAGCTTCCTACACAATACAGCGATCGGCGACTGGCGTTTTGGTGTGGTGACTAGGGAGCTTCGGAGTCGTGCGGCCTGCTGCGCAACGGACGACGAGGTGAAGAACTTGTCCTGCTTGAGGCATTGGCGGCAGACAAATGCGGCCTTTGGCGATTGAAGCGCAAGCCTGCGCATCCCAACCTGGAAGAACGCCATGTTGGTCGTTGTTGCCGGAAGAAGCCCAGTCGAAGAGGGCAAAGGGTGGCTTGATAAATATCAAATGGGAACTTTCTTGGTATCAGGCCATAGCCTTCTGGAAAGAAAAGTTAGCGCCGTTCCGATTCGCTAGCAGGCTATATGTACCCCACAATTTGAAGGATACATCCGACGACCATCGGGCTTTAACAGATTGGTCGCGACTTGAGAGATTGAATTGTTTCAATGAATCTATGTAGGTCTGTTATTTATGTATGCTGTTACAACTCGGAAGCGTTTCTTTAATCCGAACAATTTTATCTGGCCCATGCTTTTTTTCTCATTTTTATTACTCCGTCATCCCTTGATTATGAACGAGTATTGCCCGAGTCGAAAGTGGGTAAAATGTCCTCGATACGCTTCTTCCCAGCCAGAAGCACATCTCTCAGGCTCTTTCTGTTTTTCTGCTTCTGCTCATACAACGGCTTATGCTCTTCATTAATGTCGTGTTCGTTCTCATAGTCAACGTGAACGAAAGCTCGCTCGACATCTGCTAGACCCTCTAGCTTTCGTTGCAGGCTTTGGCTCACGTCATGAGAAACTCTCAAGGGGGTGTTCTCGTGCATGACGACATCGACCTCGACGTAATATTTCTGACCTGCGTGGTACGCTCGGCACTATGCCAAGTTAGTGTGGTTCTCTCAATGAAGGGGTCGTTAGTCTCACTGTATCAACTTTCAGAATTTGAGTGTCATGTGTCACCGCTATGTAGATGAGCTTTGAGATGAACTCCTTTGGTGCCGACTTCCCAACGAGTAGCCACACTTGTTCGAAAGCATTGGAGACCCATGAGAACAGGATCAATAGTGCAATACATATAGCACCGATAGGATCCAGATACCACACAAAGCGATCTCCAACAATGGACATAATGAGACCGAATGCATTGACGACGATGTCATTGCGATGGTCGACCTGAGGCGATATTAGTGGAAGCCAGACAATAAAAGACATTGATTACCTACGAAAAAGATCTTGACTGATGGATACCGCCTAAAGAAGAAGCAATAGACCATCAAACTTGCCTTGGCGAGAACTGGAGGTTTGGGTGAGTACGAATAATACGTAAGTGAGTAGAGGACACTCACTAGCAACACCAACGAAGATCAAGGGCACGATATGAAGCTCATCGGCGTCTTGCTTGCCATTACCGAGAGCACGAGCAGATTCGATCTATAATCCACTTGAGTGTGTTGTTCTGGACGATCATAATCATAGAATGCTTACCAGAAGCTGGATGGCGACAGTAGTCATCAAAGCGCAGAAAAGGATGATACCGATAGTTTCTATCCTGGTGCGTCCCTACCAAGAATTATTTGTCGGCGTCTAGTCTTAGCAGGTTTCATAGACCACTCACGACAGGGTACTTGTAGATGCTTGGCCTCGCGGCGAGTTTCGATGTTATTAACATTACGAAAGATGAAACGAGATCCATCTATGATTGTCAATCACTGATTGAGCCAAGGAAGGAAAGGGCACTAACGAAGGCATCCGCTGCAGTTGCAAACAACTATCATCCCCAGTCAGCTTCAACGCATACGTTATCGGGTAACATTCTTAACCCTACCGACAAAGAGCCTGTTGACACAGCCGCGTACATCTGAATAACAAAGAGACAGAAGTTCACGGAAAACGAAGCATAGACGGCAAATTTGATCTTAGGGCCCATCTTGATGTCGTCCTCGACAGCCAGGCGCTCTTCGTCCCCAGCGCCCAGAAACTCATCAATGAGTTCATTTTGTCGAGTATAGAACTTCTTCAACTTTTTCTTGTTACCTTTAGGATGATCAATCTTCATCTGCCGTTGGGTAACATTATCACGTCGATGCCTGCCAAAATTTAAAGGATCTGCCCGGTTGATTTCGACTGAAGATGCCGCTTGAGCAGATGAGATGATAGACTTCTCTTCGACTGGCGACAGAGCCTCTATGCTACTCTCGGCTGTGGTCCTCCCTTGTAAGCGGTCACTCACAACAGGCGTGATGGTATCATCCTGAGAGGTAGTGTTTGCTTTGAAGATGTGTTAGTCAAGACACCCATTCTCAATGAGCATCATTATGATCGATCGACCAGCTTCGCATTGGTGGGGAGAAGAAACATTCGAAACACATCCGGCCCCCGGATGTTGCAATGAGAATATCGAGACCAAATTTAAACCAAACGTACCTGCCGGTTGCGAACCGTTCTGTGACTCGGGAGTGGACATCTTGGGTGTTCATGCGCAGCGTGATGAGTTGTATCGGGGAAAGAATTATCGAATGCTTGGACTTGCGAGACGATGGTTATAATAAGTCTTGGGAATCTTGGCCTCACAAAGCAACTTTAACCATTTCGCAACGTGTTGTCGCACTAATGCGGTGAGGCAACCCAACTCAAGCAATGGTGCAGTTGGCACAGATACAACTTGTGTCTAACGTAGACAACAGAGAGCTTCGTAGGAGTGATGGAACACACGGTACCGCACATCATTCACCCCAAATTTCATCGACAGAGTGAAGTTGCCGCTGAACGTTGCAATGCACCTCCTGGAGGCTTGGCAGCTGTCTTGGCTGATAGTGATACTCGAAGTGGGCATATCGCCAAGACTTTGCCGTCTGGAGCTCCCATTGAAAGTCTATATTGAGAAGGACCTGCATCGATGTTAAGTAGATCTTAGAGGGGCGCTGAGGGCCTGAGCGGCTTCGTACTTTATGTAATTCCCTATTGGTTGAGATTTTGTTTCAGCGGAACGGGAGCTTCAACTACCGCGGACCATTCTTTCCATGCAGGGCTCTAGAAAGACTACTCGGCAATGCGCGAGGTGACCTTGCCAAGACCCACGGCATCAATTCGCCTGCTGAATATACGGTTAACCTTGAGTAGTTGTGGCTGGAAACCCAGACTGCCAAGCCCTATATTTGTTTGGCCCTCGTCTTTTGTCGATTCGCCTTACGTCAAGAGACTCAGCTTACCCAGCATCTGAAGAACATCAAACACCTCCGACCCATGCTATCCCCATGAACCGAATTGAGCCAACATCTCAAGCCCCGCCGGCCTCCACTCTCAGCTTCTCACAGCTCTGTATCCCCATCTTCAGTCACTGAGATTAGAATGGACGAATCATGTATGACCTAAAGAACAGGAGCATACAAAAATATCCCGAGTGGCCCACGACGCAACTTACGGGTATGTATTGTGGGCCTGTTTCATCCATTCCAAATTGTATCTCCTCCTTCCTAACAACGGTATCCTCAAAGTCCTTGCCCAGTCTGGGCAAGACGATAACAGGTTGCACCTTTCCTAATTAGACCTGTCATTTCTGCTGTCCTGCTAGAACAGTAAATTGCCAGTGGCCGGCTCAGCGGATCCGTTGCCAAGACTATCATGAGGCCGTCGATGATTCTAGCTGATGGATCCGGTAGCTTAAACTTACCTCACTCGATGGATTGGAGGCAAGTCTTAGATGGGGAACCGGAAGATCAGGCATCCCAACCCAATAATACTAGTTCTGAGGGTGGAGATACTCGCCATCAACAAGGTTCCGTGAGCGTGCTGCATTGAGAGCTCGACTTCATCGGCATGTCTATCACCATATTCGTGCTTCAAGTTCTTGGCAGACTCGTGCGATGTTTCTATTCTCGAGAAAGCGGCCTGAACGGCAGTCAAAGAGGGCCGGATATTCTTGCCTCATGAAAACAGAAAGTCTTGTCTTGATATGCATATTAAAGCGCGGCGGCCTCTTGGAAGTTCCAAGACTTTCGATCCTCGGTGGTGTTCTGTATTGCTGGTGTTCATCACGCGGGATCTCTTCGTTTTTTTCTTTCATTTCGCCTTTTTCTCTCTTCTTCGCTTCTCTTTTTCTTGACGCGAGGATTGACGCCTCTCGCCTACTTTCACCAAATTGGAGCTGCGGGACAGCTTCATTTGTCCCTTCTTTTCAATTGAAGTTCCTTTTTTCTAGGCCTGCTCACCCGAGTCACCTGTATAGGCTCGAGTAAGAGCAGCTTGCCTTCACTTACATTCCTTCTCGATCTTATAGAGAGGCATATTAGACTTAGACAGACATGGCTGAAGCAATGGCAAAGCCCCAGTGTGGGAGTGAGTCGGAAGCCGGCGAGTACGACCTCGCTCTTCATGTTGTTGGTTTATGTAAGACACCTGAGTCTCAGAGTTTGACGACATATTTCACATTGCTAACGTGTTGAAGTCTTGGTCCTCGGTGCTTCAATCTTTGGTACGAACAAGGAAAATGGCTATCTTGAGATAATTAGCTAACGAACTCAAGGGGCGGGCTTTCCGGTGGTAGCAAAAAAGGTCAAGTGGATGAAGATTCCTCCCAAGATCTTCTTTGCTTGTAAACATTTTGGAACTGGTGTCCTAGTAGCTACGGCATTTGTCCATGTAAGTCGCCCTAACCCTTCACGATCATTGACACATGTTGACCATGATTCAAAGCTTCTGCCGACCGCTTTCGGAAATCTCATGGACCCTTGCCTCCCTGATCTATTTACAACAAACTACCCCCCCATGCCCGGTGTCATCATGATGGCTGCCCTTTTCTGCTTGTTCACGATTGAGATGTACCTCAATCATAAAATGGGTGGTCAGGGTCATTCTCATGGTGGCCCAATGGGTATTGAGACTGGACCTGCCCCTGTGCCAATGAATATGCGAGCACCCGAGAGACCCCCAAGATATGGCCGCAACAGCTTCGAGACCGACGAGATCGAATATGAGAAGCAGATTGCTAAGAAGGCGTATGTTTCCCATTACTTCACATCATATCACAACTGACATGAGTTAGTTTTGAGGAGAATCTCCGGACTCAACAGCAACAGCAGCAGCATGAGAATCCATTTGCTGATCAAAATGAGTTTGGGCCCCAATCAGAGATGCCACCATGGTTCATCGTATTCTATGAGCAATACGTTCGCCAGCGACTGGAGATGATGAATATGATCAAAGCTCAGTCTCGGTCTAACGCCATGGTCCTTTCGGGACCTGATGAGAAGCAAACGTCTGTGACAGTCACAGAGTCCCCATTCATGGATGAAGAGGGCCAAATGGTCGATCCACTTGTTTACAAAAAGATGTCACTGAACATCACTCTTCTGGAGGGTGGCATTCTCTTCCATTCCGTCTTCGTCGGCATGACTGTAAGCATCACCATCGAAGGTTTCATTATTCTCCTCGTCGCCATTCTATTCCACCAAATGTTTGAGGGACTTGGTCTAGGGTCACGTATCGCTGCTGTTCCATATCCGAAAGGTAGTCCGCGCCCCTGGATCCTGGTTGTTGCTTTCGGTACCACTGCTCCCATTGGCCAAGCTATCGGTCTTATGACGAGGAATACATATGATCCCAACAGTGCGTTTGGTCTGATTATCGTTGGCATTTTCAATGCAATGTGAGTTTCTCGGAATGCGGCTGTCGACCTAATGGCTAATTACGTCGTAGCTCCGCTGGACTTCTACTGTACGCTGCCACGGTGGATCTTCTAGCTGAAGACTTCCTGTCTGAAGAGGCCAATCGACTGCTGAGCAAGAAAGACAAGATTACAGCATTCTGCTTCGTTCTCGCAGGAGGTAAGTTTAGCTTGGGCTATGTATGATTGCGGTAAAATTGCTAACTGAAGGCAGCTGCTGGCATGTCTATCGTCGGTGCCTTTGCATAATTGCGCCTATTCAAAATTGACTCATACGCCGATTCCCGGCAACTTCATGGCACATCTAGACAAAATACTGTCTTGTGTTCTATGGCAAACCTGACACCTGACAAAATCCTGAATAGGCTGCTCCTGAAGTAATATGAACGAGTTATGACGCCAGGAATATTGCGGGTTCAAGCAGGGGACATCATTCATTTTAAGACTGTACGCCTGTTCAAAATATAAAGTCTCCTTTTTGATCCATCTTTTGACACGAATTTCAGGCAGAACCAGGAGGAAATAATACTCAGCAATACTTACGGTCGTTACCGCTACCCTTTTAGAAACAAAATATCGCAGACATCACCGTGCCAAAATGATCCGTTCATGAACTAGGTGGTGTTTGGAATAACGCAAAGCACAACGCTGGCTTCAGAGCATCGATTGGGGGCCCATTCCATGGCGCGGCACAGCGCTCTATAGAGGATGATGGATACAGGCGCTAAATTCGCGAATAGAATAACGGAAAGCTGTGAGCCTTCCAATGTTACCTTAGACATACCATTGGAAAAGCGAGATGTAAGATAGTGTAGTTGTACGCCTAAACTGGAGACTTGTGCTGGTCCATTGTGCTCAACGACTGTCCTGTCCACTGCCACAGTTCGTAACCGTAAAGTGTCATCTCGAATGTAAGTCTGGAGGGAACTGGAGCCATGTCTTACGGCGCGGTATGACCACGCAACCGGTATCAGCTGGTGAGATGGGACATGCCAATGTGGAGGTGGTGATGAAAAGACCGGACGATGCCCCACGCAGGTGAGACAGTAACGTACGCAATCCAACCACTCGGCCTAATCACTTTCTTTCCGAAGAAAAGACCCGAGGAAAGACTGTGATGAGATGAAACAACCGTAGTAAGCTTAATCATAGCTGAGCCCGGAATGGTAGCTACCGTTGCTGCCAAGAGTTTCGACAGGTAATGGACAACGCAGCCGCCAAGCGCACCCAACTACTTCACAGCAGAATGCAGTATAGTACAGAACACATGGATGTAGACTCGGTAAAATTGCGTCATGTTGCTGCGCCAGATCTTGTTCGATACGGATGACTACCTTAAATCCTTGTGCGAACGCTGAGGCTATTCAAGTTGCACTACAGAGTGCCAAACTGATCAGCCACTGAAGTAGTCGTTTGGCACTTGCTCGGAGAATAGGAGAAAAGGGAAGGTTCTGGCTCGAGTTGCCGGGTTGCTCCGTCGATCTCCCTGGATGGAAATTGCTGCAAACTGGCGCCGAGCCGCGTCTGCGGGTAGTAGCATTTCTTCGCCGGCGTCAAGACATGCATCCACTGATGCTTAAACTCAGAGCAGGCTGAAAGGCGCAGCCTGCTGCTAGACCAGGGCACACCTAGTCTTAGTACCGGGTGAATACAAAGGCTGGTACGAAACATGATCTGCGGCATGCTACCGGCTGATCTCTAGCGCTCCCCAGTCCTGACATTGGAGATCTTGCCTCGCGGGTGGCATTGCCGCAGGACTCTTGGCAGTCTCAAGAATTACAAATTGTAGCGACAACGGCACTCGGCAGCCAACCCTTGATGTTGCCATCTTCACAGGATAAGCGCCAAGAGATCACGGACTCGAAGGATTGCGTGTCGCCTTTGTCGCATTGGCTCGGATGAGCCTGTGGAGGGAATGTGCTACGCGTTGCATTCCAAGCAAGTTGCCAAATATTGATCAAATGGGGACAGAGTATCGAGGCCCGTACTAATTCAATTAATCGGTGTAGAAGCAACTCTCAATTGTTGCTTACTGTGCTCAATCTAACCTACATAGTTGATCATAGTGTCTATATGTTGAAGCACGTTGAATGGACTAGAGCACCACTTTATTGTGGAATTACGAGTGCTTCGAAGACTTTGGCGAATCATATTTGTTAAATATGACAAACAACAGTCTGCCTCTTATGTCACACAGCTTATTTGGCCTTCTCAAAAACCCCTTCCAACCAATCGAGCGTAATTTGGTTAAGCTGAGCTTCTGCGCCAAGCTGGCAATGCTCTCCTGCCCCAAGATCCGTCCTGAACGAGTAGTAATAACCCTGGTCTCCTAATGCTTTGGCAAGAATTTCTGGCTGCCCTCTAGTGCTGTCGTCGTTCTGACCTTGTCCAACGAATACTGGGGCTGTGATGTTGGGCACAACACCATCAAGATTGATCTCGCCGAGACGAGTGAACCAGTCAAAAGGACTCGTCGTGGCAAACGACCACATGCCTTGCTCTACTAGCCAGCGAAAGTTGGTTGGTGTGTCGGGGCTAGCAAGTGCCTCTTCTACGACATAGTTGAAGACTGTCTCATTGCCAGAGTTGAAGATTGCGACCAACTGCTCAGGTAGTTGTGCCTCGATGGAGTCCTGGAGGCTCCATAGACCATCGATAGCCAGAACTGCTGCGAAGCGATGTTCGCGGCTAGCAGCAAGAGGTGCAAGTGTACCGCCGAAGGAGAAGCCACCCAGTGCTAGACTGGACATGTCGACATCGGAACGGTTAGCCAGGTAGTCCACTACGGGTGTCACGACATTCCACCAGTCCGGTCGGAAACCGAGACCCTGTTGACGTCTGACTGTGGGCTGACCAGGTCCTTCATAGGTGACAAAGTTCCAACCGCGTGCAATGATTTCAGCGCCGATAGAATGATACAGTTCCTCTTGACTACCATCGTAGCCGCTGCCGACAAGAACTGTTGGCTTCTTGCCTCCGCAGCCGCGCTTTCCGGTCGATGATTGACTCTCGGAATCTGCTGGGTAGAAATATGCCGGAATGGTGAAACCGTCGGCTCGGATCTCAATCTTCTCGGCAGGCAGCGGGAGAAGCTTGATAGCAGCGGAGAAGTCCTCCAGCATGTTATCCCAAAGAGTTATTAGACGTGGGTCCGAGTCGTTTCCATGGAGGAAGAAATCAGCTGTGCGGTAGTATGAGGAGGCGCGGAAGTGCGCATTGCGTGCAGAGAGAGTGTTCTTTGTTGAGTTCGCGAACACGCGCATCTGATCTGCGAGGAACGTGAATTCCTGGTACCAGGACTCGAAGTCTCCAGGTACAATTTGCGATGCAGCTCGAAGCACCTCACCCGTGTTGGCACCATGGTTGTTGGAGAGCGCGAGTTTCTCTTCCAAGACAAAAGCAAATTGGCTATCGGTGCTTAGAGGGTAGATGGGAAGCTTTGTGGTGCTGTTGGTCGTTGAATTTTGGGCAAGCTGACAATCTGGTTAGGACGAAGACTTAAGCATATCCTGTACTTTAGATTGAAACCTAGACCTACAGCACCAATGAGCTGACTGCTCAGGAAGAGTAGTGTGTGTTGGACGCGCATGTTGCGTGTATCTTGGTCGGGAATTCCAGGGGAGATTGCTTTCACGGATTGGCTTACTTGACTGTACTGGTCCGCTCTGGGTTAACCGAGTGCAACTACAGAACGCGTCTAGCAAGGGAAGACAAGAGCTTGGCATGAAGCTCTTTATACCTGACGACATTCACACCCGTCACATTGCGGTCTTCGATGTAAGCGCAACCGGGCTGAGTCGGATGGGCCGGTTCTGAATATGACGGCAGGATGGGTTGTAAGTGGAGAAACCAACGCCTCGTTTACGGATGATATTGATGAAGAGGCGATCTGGTGCGATACATGACCGCAGAGTCTTGCTGTGACTTATGATTACCAGCTGCAGGTCAAGGGCACGACGACACTCCGACAACGTCCGTCCCTAAAGAAGCTTCGCAAAGGAATTAGCTCAGCGGCACAGATGCGACCGTTGCGATCCAACAGTGTGGGCTGTGTTAGTTTAAACGTCTCGTTGTGTAAACCGATTGGATGAGCTCCACAACTCGGGTTCGGAATCGCACATCTCATCTGCTAAGCTTTCTTCCCGCCTGGGGTATGCTCAGCCCTTCACGCTACAGGCCGAGAGATTTATCATCTGTCAGGTACGAAATTTCCTACTGCATGGAGGTAACAGGTGCTCCTTAAAATAGAGGGTCAAAACAAGCTTTGAGGCACTAGGGTACGTAATGGGTCATAAAATATGATATCCTAACACGCGAGCGTGTGGCATCTATCAATCATACAGTCCTTGTCTCCAAGCCCAATGCTACATAAATATTTGGCCCCAGAGTTTTACTTCCGCCTTAATATGATACTACGCGAATGAATAGGCAAACTCTTCACAACCACAACCTATTGTGAATATTTTACGTGTTCAGGAATGCTAATCATATAGCTAGGGTAGCAGTGTTCACTACTGACCAAGATCCGCTCAACATATCTCATAGCTGGCAGCTTCCCAGTACACTTGAATGTGTTTGATATGAAACGAATCGCTGGATTCCAAGTCGTATGGACTAGTCATTTGAAGGACCATCTCAATGTCCGGGACAAGTCGGTGTATTTATATCATCATGTATCAGTTATCAAACGGATGAGGGAGTCAAACTCTGAGTAAGTCACATTGCTGATGTTCATACAATTCTCTCTAGCCCACGCTGAGCGTAATCTAATTCAGAAGCAGTGACTTGCTTCCTAGAATACTACTCGACGGGACATAGGAGTCCATCAATTTGCTCATACCGATCAGCAGATCCAGCTGCACAACGTGGCTGATGGATGAAATCTTTCAGATCGGTCTTGACCGCAACATCATGTATCGCGAAATAGCTAGCCACGACAAGAAAAGTTATATCTACTGGAGGGAAAGACTCCTGAATATATCGGAGAGATATGAAAGAAGCAAACCATCCAGCCTCGTTCAATGGTGGTATGATCGTCGTGACATGAGCCAATGGTGGGCGTTTTGGCTAGTTATCACGGGTATCTTCTTGACTGTTCTTTTCGGGCTGATACAGTCAATCACGGGTATTCTGCAGGTTATTAAAGGATAATTGCTTAACAGAGGTGGGAATTTATGGGGATAGACTTTCGGCCAAATACTTGCACTGATAGTTGAGTTGAATACTGAAACCTTCCGATTTAGCGAAGGGTTAGGAAGGTTATGGTTAGAATGCAGGTATGTAACAGCCAGGCAGCAAGATAGAGAGATACAGAACTCAAGCATGCATAGTAAATGCCACATTTTCTTTCAATTTGTGCTAATATACCTTGGCCGTGAGTTCAAGCTACGGGCTGCCTTTTCTTTGTTCGTAGATTGACTCATGCCGCTTTCGGCGTTTGCGATTGGGACCGAAGTTCTGCGGGAGGCCATGAACAAAGAACCAGACAGGAGAAATCTCCACGCAAAGGAAAAGATAAAATGTAATAAGTCCATGGGTTGCCTGTTGAACTGATTCGTCATCTCTCTCGGCGAAACTTCTGCTCGTATAACAGATAACAAGCAAGCATGTCTCAGCAATCGGATCCCGGCACAGAACACAAGGAGCATCGAAGTTACGAGGCAGTCAAAGCTCTCAGTGAGGATGCCTATATTGTTCGTCGTGTTTCGGATGGCGAACAATTCATCGGCCACGCATGGGACCTAGAAGGGGACTTCGCGGCTGATGATCTGAACGATCACCTCAAGCGAGGTGCTGAAACCCCGGTCTGGGCCCTGCTCAATCACGAGAATCTGATGTCAATCGTGGGAAGTACTGAAAATGTGGTATTCATGGGCTCTGGCAACCATCTCAAGCGACTCTTACTCTGGGACTTTGCCGATGCTGGCACGCTAAAGGCGATATTTGAGGATCCACCCCTGTATCCGACAGAGACGGGATTTTTGCCTGAGAGTCTGTGTTGGCATGTTGTGATCAGCGTCCTTAGAGCTCTGGCATGGTTGCACGAAGGCTATCGCGAGGAGTACCACATCGCGCCTCGCGATGGAGACACTGTGTGCGAGAAGAAGACGTGGGTCATTGACTCGGACTGGATGCCCATCCTGCACCGCAACATCACACCTGCAAACATTTTTTTCCAGCATCCGAAGGGCTCCGAGACGTACGGCTTTTGCAAACTCGGCAACTTTGGCAAGGCTTTCGTCTCAGGTCATGTCAATAATAAGTCTGGCGGACCTGTGGTGACGGTCAGGTCGGGCGATGTGCCCATGGCGGACCTGCGCAATACGATTGCAGTAGAGGATATCTACACAATCCCGAAGGTGAGTTATCGCGATACAGCGGACTAGTAGCCGTCATTAACTTCTAGGCACAGGGCAAGCGGCCCTATACCAAGGGTACGGAGCTTCACAAGCTCGGTGCTATTCTCCATCGTATGATGACCGGATCAGCTGCACCGCCCGAAGAGGAATGCAGCGGCTGCGGGTGTCGACACAATGACCCGTCAGCTCCGACTTGCTCTCACGCCGACTGTCACGGAGATGTCAATTGGATGTCCTTGGAGGCACGTCTGAAAGACTACACTGCTGGGCTCAAGGAAATCCTGTTCATGCTTCTTTCTGCATACCGGGGCAGTGGTAATCCCGTGAATGCCATTGCATGCCTCGACGTTGCGAATCAAGCATTCCTCTGGTGGAAGTCTGGGACTCCTGACGGTCACTTATTTGTAGAATGGGAAGATGACCAGGACAAGAGATGGAAGAACCTCTTGCACAAGCACGAGAAGGTAACGACGGTAGGAGGGGCTGTTGCGGCCGGTTGACCGTGACTGCACCGAACGTGTGCCGAAAACGGCTGGAATGGACGAGTTCTTTGTTCTGACCAGAATGCCTCAAGTTGAATGACAAAGGAACCAGCACTTATCAATCGTAGGGATCTTATTGTACACGTGTAGAATAAGAAATTGTCAGAAATTTTGGCTTGGAGTCCTTTGAGTCCAGCAACAACAATTTGGTGAGCTAGCGATGTTTTCATATGTTTGGAGCAGCGATGCCCAGGTGCGCGAATGATGAGTTGTGAGATTGTCACACCAGCGGCGCTACGTCAGGGGAAGCTATAATTAGCGCCAAGATTAATGGGGCTGATAAAGCTTTGGGCGCTGAAGTGGAAGCCACGATAAGCTTAATAGAAGTTGCGATAACTCCGGCCACCTCACCTTACGTATCGCTATCTCCTCCCAGAACACCTTCTCAGCCTTTTCCTTCCTCCTTCACCACCGCCTCGTACTCTACTATCACAGGCGACTCCGCCAACCACGCACCGACAGTGGTAATTACCAAGATCCAACATCCAACGCTCCACTTTGCGAGCCTCTTACTAGCCGTAGTCACCAACTTCGAGAAACCGCGCATAGCTACGAGCTCAAAGAGCTACCAGCCTACGAGCCGAGGGCGAGCTTCAACATCTCGTTCGCAGCGCTCGGTCCTCCAGATTCAACACGATGTCGCTTCCCGCGGCACCGCCGCTCCTACTCACGAAGCGCCTGACGACGTTTCTCCGCGCCAATCTCTCTCCCCAGATAACCTCCACGCTGCTTCTCATGCCCTCGGGCCGCCTGCTCGCATACGCCTGCCAACCTGCCGTGCCCGTCTCGACACTGCGCACACAAGGCACCGTCGCCGCGTCCCTATGGGCGATCCACAGCCACGGCACGGATAGGGAGAGCATAGCCTCCGCGCTGGGACAGCCGCAACCGACCGCCAGTAGAGGGGCAAACCACAGGGAGCCCAGCGCCGTGACGCTGCAGCTGGACGGGGGCAACATCGTCGTCATACGGCGACTGCGGTGCGGCATGCTCTTCGTGTGCATAGGGCCAACGCAGCCGACAGATCTCCAGCACGGAGCCCAACCACAGCCGCCGCTCACGCCGGACCCGCACGAGCGCAACGGGCATCCTCACCACCACCATCAGCAACATCTCGCGCCGTCGCATGCGACGAGCAGCCCGACGGTCGGGTCGCCGTCCGCCTCGGAGGTTGAGAGCGTGCTCAGCGTGGCGACGGGCGTAGCGACGGTGGGCTCCACGGCGACGACGAGCTCGTTCGCGGGCAGTGCGACGGCTGGCATTGTCGCAACAAGGCGGCATGCTGAGGCGCTGGCGGTGTGGTTGGATGATAAGCTGGGGACGCTGAACGTGCCCGAAGAGAGTTTTAGCATTGCGTGACGGGAATAGAGATGCGGTGTGCATTCGAGCCGATCCGCTTAGGAGTGCATTTGTCGAGTTACGATTGCTTCACGAATCTACACCGCCTAGTCTCTATGGAAGTCATCGGCATATGGAGGAGTGTGAGCATTGCGATGGACCATTTTTTTCTATTGATGGCGTTATTTGCAGGGAGAAAGCATGATATAGGATATTGTAGCTAGGTTGTATATTATTAAAGAGCGCGCTTCGCGGCGTTCACAGGATATCTTGAAGAAGTCCCTCACAGGGCCGCTGTCTATTATTATGTACGAGTATCTCGTATTCGATATGCACATGTCCTGAATGCTGCCGTGCTCCTGACCTAGTGATGCTGCCATTAAGAAAGAAGTTTGCTATGTAGCCGATCCCAGCGCCGCCCCAATGCTTGCCATGAGAGAAATTTGTTGAAGTGCAATGTAGCTTCATAAAGCAATTTCGTAACTCATATCATCTCAGCAATTTGTGCCTCTTTCTCGCGCTTGCTGCAACAACGGAGGGTGATGTAGTGGAATTTACTCGATGCTGAGTTTCGTAATTCCATCGTTCGTGTCGACCATGCCCTGGTATCCGATCCGGCCCTTATTATGGCCATTAGCCCTTCCCTTCTCGCCTTGACTCCCATTCTCGCTGGGAGCCTTATCACCACCATTGCTTCCAGGCCGAGAACCCCAGGGAGCATGCTGCAGTGGGCTCTGCATGATAGGCGAGTTATGTACGCTCATGCCTGGCGAGACGGCACGCCGCTTGAAGCTGACAGGGTCGAAGTCGTCGTCGCGGCGGCGTTTGCTATTTATGCGACGGGTGATCTCGGCTGCGCTCGGTGGAGGCGGACCTGTGGAAGCGGAGGCACCCATCTGTGGTGTCTCGCCACCGCTACTACTTGTTGTGCCCGTCATGGGAAACATGAAGCCGCCATTGCTGGCCGTAGGGCCGGAGCTCGTAGACGGAGAGTCCATGTTGATGTCATCGAGACTGATGGATGAGCCTCGGGGAAGGAACCCTGGAGGCGGCGGTGTGGTGCTACTCGCATCCGAAAAGGTGTCCCAGAAGCGATTGCCTTTTGCGTTCTTCATAGCTTGTTGCTTGAAGCTCGCTGAGAGGCCAAGGCCAGTTGGATCCATCATCATTGCGTCGTCGGGTATTTCGTCGATCGGGTCCTGGGGACCGATATGGGGGCTCGAATGGGTTGTCGTAGGTGCCGAAAGGGCTGGAGGCGGGATACGAGGCTCAAGCTCCACGTCGCTCTCGCGGACTTGACGAACAACCTCGGCCTCACGGCGGAACTCAGTTTCAATAGGTGCAGTCTCCTCGAAAAGTTCAGCGCGAATGCGAGCAAAGTTCCGTGTTTTCGGCTAAGACAGTGGTTAATATTATGGGAGCAAGATGGGACGAAAGAGAGCCACTAACCAAGAGATTACCTCGTCGAGTGACCACACGACGAATTACCCGATTATGCGGATCAACACCAGCTTCACCTTCAACCTGCTGCTTAAGGTTCTCATCACTTTCACTACCCGAGATATGTAGCTGGTTTGCGGCCCAACTGATGCTCTCCCTACGAGAATGTGGGGCTGGCATCTCCTTCGACATGGCCATGTTGCCAAACGGATTGATGTTGCTTGGTGGAGATTTGGATAGATTCTGTGTAGCCGCAGAGGATGACCCAAAGCCCAGGCCAAGGGGACCTCGAGTCTTCTTCTTGGGAACTTTGCGACGATGCTGACGTTGCTGGAAAGACAGTAGACTATTAACGGCCGGCGACCCGCCTACCGACCAATTTGAACCAGGAGGGGGATGAATGCCAGTTGGAGTGCCAATCTTATTGACTTGAGGTGTTGTAACATACGCCTCATCCAGCATGTCCTCATCCATTAGGTCGTCTTCTTCCGAGCTGGAGGAGGTGTCGGATCCTAGATTCGTGGCGCTCCCAAGAGAACTCGAGATATGCACCCGCTCCTGATTTCCCATCATGGACCATAACGAATTCGAAGATTGTTCAAGTGGACCGTATTCGCCTACTCTCCTCCCGGGAATGTTCATAGCCCTACCGCCAATGGTAGGGGACGAATCGGGAGAGGACTGCTCGGCAAGTGTAGAGTGGTGCAGGCTCGTGGCCGCTCGAGAGAAGTCGAGACCTCGTGATCGTCGCGGTAAGATGTTCGTTGGGGAGGCATAGATCTGCGAATGGTCGAGTTTCGGTGACAGCGGCTTGACGTACGCTGGGGACTGCTGGGCAGGAGGAGTCGATGCCCGCGCTGGCATCTGTAGCGACAGCCCGCGGAGGGGGAACTCGGACCGTCTAGGAGTTACGGGAAGAGCAATTGTCGTCGAGTCTCGAATGGAACTGTCATCCTTTGATGTGCGTCGAGAGGCTTCGAGGATGAGGGGAGAAGGCGAGAGCTTCTGGGGCGTGCCTCCTCCGTCCGACAACGATCGAGTCTTGCTCAAGGGCGATCTTTCCACAAGCCTACCGGAGCCAGACAGTTCCTCCCCCATGGGGCCTACATCATCCATTGCGTCCATCACTGCTATCTCGTCGTACTCAACATCTCCAAGCTGCGACGGGCGGTCCATTTGTGGCGTTCGATGTTATCGCTGTCGTCTGTTTGACGGGGTAGGCGCCGAAGCCCTGGGGCCTCGCGTCGGTCGTTTGACAGGTTGATCACGGCGACGTGCTGATTAACTGCATACGGCTCAACAAGAATATTACCAGCGTCAAGACTCGCAGGCGGTTCATTCGACAAAAATCAATCACATCTTCTGCAAGTATATTTGGCTGTGGTCAATCATTTGAGGTGGAGGAGTGATCCCATCCATCCATCCATTCATTCATTAGGGTCAGCAAAGATGCGGCTCAGTTGTCGGGAGCTCTAAAACACGCAGGTCCAATCGAGCTGGGGTGGCTTAAGACACCCTGGAACAGACCCCAGTTTCTCCCAAGCGCGGCGATGATCAGTCCTAGCAAATGCACTAAGCGCTCGTAGCGAAGGGACCTTTCCTAGCGTTATCCCACAGCCCCACAGCCGTAGTTGTAAATACATACCAGTTGACTTTCTGATCTTGTTTTTTTTTGTACAACAGATACATCAGAAACTCTCTTTTTGTCCTCGTAATTTTTCATGGGGAAGAGGAAGGCAAAGGGGGATTTTTGATATAACAGATATCATTGTAATTCTTCGATCCCTACACTTCACACCCCCCACGAGTCACTCAAAATGGGCCATCAGGTCAATGCTCTCGACAGCCAGTTTCGCTCGCCTTGTCAGATCGTTACATATTTCACGCATTCGCCGTGCCTCATCGGACTTAGAGCACGTTCTATTCTCAGCTGCTAGTGTCTCCAGAAGCTGAAGAAACGGTGTAGTAATGCGAATATCGGGCCGTGCTTCGGGCGACACAGGATGACGGAGCACGTTGTTGAGAAGAGCGACGACAGCCTCGAACACGGGGTGTAGGAGAACCCTGTGTGATCCTTAGCATTCTGGAACAAACCTTTCGTCAAGTATTCACGGGCTGGGATGAGACGACTGGGATGAGACGACTGCTTACCACACAAGGGCGTAGTCGCCACGAGGTGT